ATCACCATCGTCAATGGTATAATCAACATCAACACCACCACCACTGTACATCACCACCATCATSATCGTCAATGGTATCATCAACATTAACGCCATCACCATCACCATCTTAAGTGTCATCATCATCACAGCCTTAATCATCTTCATCACCACAATAATCATTATCATCAGATTAACTCAARTGCATATTTATGAAGATTTTTCTCTCTAACCAAAGGTGCAGTGGACTGCAACTTACGTGGAGCAATATTTAGGCTCAGATGAGTTGCCTAAGTCTGAGGTGGTAGCATTCCTTCAGCAGCATGCAGACGCTGCCTTCCTCAGGAGATGGAAGCTCACGGGTACACCAAAGAGCACCAGGAAGAATAGGAACTGTTCACAGCTAGTTGCTGCATACAAGGTTATTGTCCCTTTTAATAGTTCTTTTGCAATAGATTGACACGTGACTGTTATTGAATGGCCAAAAAAATGTGGACTTCCTTTAATTCAAGATTTCTAATGTCTTATCCAAAACCTTTTCAAAAATACTTTTTTCCCCTTATAACATACTTTAGATTTCAAGATACGAGGCAGTTCAAAGTTTGTTTGCCGTCCAGCAGAGACTTCCCCAAGGGACCTTGAGCTGGATTGATTCGTTATATTTTAGCACGTGACTGTTTGCTACAAATGTAATCGCGGCGTGTTTTTCTTTTTTCGTTTTTTGTTTTTTTGTTTTTTTTGTTTTGTTTTTTTGTTGTTTTTTTTTTGTTTTTTTGTCTCGGTTCGGCAGTTCGCTGACATCCGTATTAATAAGTGCTGGGTTTCAATCTGATAAAAGCCTTTGAATTTTATTATCTGCTCCAAATCATTCGGTGGCACGTTACGTCATCGCGGCCATGTTGGTACCATTGAACAAAAGATTTCTCATTAGCATATTAGCATCCTTTGTCAACCGCACCGACTTATTTTCCCTCTTCTGACTTACTGTATCATTTGATAGGAATTCCTCAAGAATCTAGAGTCGACTCCAACAAGCTCTGTTTCAAGTCCAATGCACACAAGATATGATAGGATGGTGTCTGGTGGGTCAAGTTTGACCAGCTACAAGGATGATCTAGGATCTGTCTCTGATATCCTACAGCTACTTAGACAACTCAATRCTTTATCTACATCTTCAACACAACACTTTGGAGAAGACGGTGAGTTGGAATAAATCTAGGGTGAGCTTCGTAAACTATGAAAACCTCATAACAGACATGCGGTGACCGTGACACTGATGGTACCATGTCTTAGTATTATTGGGTGACCAATGACTCAGCTTGTGATAATACAGTGACTGGTTCGAAGAATATCGTTAATTCTMTATCGTGCCGTGACAGTATCATGTCTGAGCATTTTGATTGGCTCARTAGCAATGACATCGCGCTTGAAACGAAACGTGAYCGTGACAGCACCGTGTCTAAGTATTTTCATTGGCTAAGCAGTTATGTGATGCGATGTGATTGGTTCAAAGGATATCGTGAATTGCGTACTGTGCTGTGCCGTGACAGTACCGTGTCTGTTGTCAGATCCGTGCCACGCCAAATACCTGTTTAATCTACAGCTATTTTGTATCATTCCAGATGAGAATAAGTTTGGATTCATGGTTGGACCTGAAGACTTCATCAGTAACAAACTAACCACCAAACTGATGCAACAGATAATGGTAGGTTTATGGATGTTAACCATGTGCTTATGTCTATTTATTGTACGGAGTAACGCAATCCTTGACACGTGTTTATTATTTGTTTTCTAATTTTCAGGATCCTTTAATARTATCAAGTAACGCAATCCCTGATTGGTGTGAATACCTTACATCAACATTTCCCATGTTATTCGCTTTTGAGACTAGACAACTCTATTTCTCCTGCTCAGCGTTTGGCTGTTCACGGTAAGTGCTCCCTTCCTTCCTTCCTTCCCTCCTTCCTTCC